AAAAAAAAAAAAACAAAAAAAAACAAAGGTAAAAACAAAAACAAAAACAAAAAAGAAAAAGAAGTTCTCGAATGCCGCCCTCCGTCAGTCACCCTCCTGACAGGAGATCTGCCGGTCAGCAGGCTGGTCCTGTTTAACTCCCTTCCCGGACGCCCTGCCACAGGCTGAGAGGCGACCGCCTCCTCTCTGCTCTGTCCCTGTCTGTCCCCTGTGATGTCGGAGCCGCAGGAGTGGGAAGGGCTTGTGTCTAACTCATCTCCCTGCAGGGAGACATAAAACTTGCCCATAAATAAAGCCTTTTATTGTTTAGCTCGAACATTAAATTTCATCGGCCTGTAGCGTGTGTTTCGTTATAGCAGACACCAACGTGTACTTAAAAAGGGAATTCCGGAATGCTGCCTGGCTCGCAGAATGCCCGCAAAGAGTCTCCAGCATGGCCTTGGAGACGTGATCCGGACCTCACCTTCCAAAATGGTCCTGGCAGCCACGTTTTTACTTTACGTGGCACTTTGTGCTGATTGAATAAGTGGCATCAGGCGCTCTAATCTGCATCCAGCTGCTTCTGTCTGCCGCTGCTACTTCCAGTCTGCAGCTGGAAACCAGTCCCGCAGCCAGAGCTGCACGAATCGGTCCAAAGTAAGTGCCAACAAGCCCCGCCCGACCTGCGTGAGGCGGGAGGGCTCAGGAGGGCTGTTCCGCCCACTAGCCTGCCTGCCGGCTCCGCGCCTCCCATCCCTCCTGCCTCCTCCCCCCTCCTTTGTTCTCGGCTGTGCTCCAGAGATACCCTTCTGGAAGGTTAAAATCTGCATAGCAATCACCTGGGACCTTGTTAAATTGCACGGCTCATTCAATAGGTCTTGGGTGGGGGGTGTATGTGGGGGGGGGGGTTGTTCTAATAAGCTCTCAGGTGATGCTGCTTTGTGTCCTGGGCCCACACCTCTAGTAGCTCAGAACTGCCCTGTCCAATATGACAGCCACTAGCTACTCGTGGGTATTTAAATTAAATTAGGGACACGTGGGTGGCTCAGCCATTAGGCGTCCGGCTCTTGATCTGGGCTCCGCCGCATCCGCCTCTGCACTGGCCGCTCAGACCCTGCTTCGAATTCTCTGCCCCTCCCCTGCTCTCGCTCTGTCTCTCTCAAAATCATTAAGTAAACTTTAAAAAATTAAATGAAATAAAAAATTCCGTTCCTCAGTCGCACTGGCCACGTGTCCAGGGCTCAGCAGCCACGTGTGGCCAGGGTCTGCAGCGCTGGGGGACACCGAGCCGGAACATCGTCCCCGGAAGCTCTGTCCGCAGCTGCTCTACAGAGCCAGGGTGGACGACACCTGAGCCCCGAAGTGTGGCGGGTTAGGGCCCCGCGCGCCCGCAGCGGGCCAGGGCGGACAAAACCCCACGAGGCCGCCAATGCCTGAGCGCCACGTGCACTCTGTGCCGATGGAGTCCCCCGTCCTCCACGGCTTTATGCCTCCGCCACGAGGCCGGGCTCAGTGCAGGCTCGCTGCTTGCCGGGTGGTGACAGGGAAATGTGAGAGACAAGCTGCCGTGACTGGTGACTCGCTGTGTCGGGATGCTACCTGCCCCCTCCCCCGCCCCGCCTTCCCCTCCCCCTCTTTGTTTGCTGGGGGGCTGGACTCTGGAGGGGAGCAAGCAGGCCCTTTGTCTGCTTCCACTTCCCTGGGCGTCTTCGTTCCCGAGGGGGTGGGGAGAAGAAATTCCCAGAGAACAGAGTGGATTCGGCACACATTGGACAAATAAAGCAGCGAGCCCCGCTCCCTCCTCCCCGTGAACCCTGCACGGCACGCAGAGCTCCGGAGGGGGAGGAGGGAGGGTGGGGAGATTTTCCAAGAATGCCTTTCATGTGGACCCAGAGCTGTCATTTTCCGGGCAATTCTGTGAACCAGGACCCGGAGCAATTTCCCGAAGTGCGGTTGGTGCACATGTGGCCAGCCGTAGCAATCACAGCCAGGGGCAGGGGACCCGCACAGGACCCAGGGCCCAGGAAACGCCCGCTGGCCCCTCACTGTCCGCCGGCGCTGCCTCCTTTCCTGGGCGAAGACCGTACAGACACACTGGAACAGCCACCTGACGTCTGTGAGTCCACATGCGAGGTCCGTGCTGTCTGTTCCCAACAGTAAGGTTACCCTTCCACCAACCAGCAGGTGTGCAGCTGGTGCCCACGTCAGAACTGGGTTCGGAGCCTGACTCTGCCCTTAGCATGCACGTGGCTTTGAGCAAGTCTCCTCTCCTCTCTGGGCCTCAGTTGGCTGTCAAAGGAGGATAATACTTATTTTTCAGGGCTGTTCAGCGTTTGGTACACAGCGCCAGGTGCCAGTGCACCCACGCCCTGCTCGTAAGGCAGGGGTGTTGGCAATGTGCAGAGGGAGACAGTCACATGATAAAGTTTGAAATGACCACTGTGACAGAGGAAACCAGGAGAGCTTTAGAGAACGAGAATGTGTCCTGGGGCCGGCGAGTCAGGGAGGCCCACTTGCCCGAGGATGTGCTGACGGGGCTGAGAAGTTAACCAGGCAAATGCGGAAGGAGGGAAGACCAGCAAGGCTGAGGGAACAGCATGTGCAAAGATCCTGTGGCAGGATAGTACTTGGCTGTCCACGGGGCAGCGGAAGGATGCGCATGGCTGAATGGCAGAGTCAGGGGCACAGAGAAGGAAGGGAGATGAGGGGAGACTGTGTGTCTGCCCCCTACACCCCTGTGCTACGTGCTGGAGGTCAAACCAACGATCAAAGCCTCTGCCTCGAGCTCACACCTATGGAAACAGTGTGCTGTCAGAGTTCCCTTCCAGTGGTCTTTGGTGTGTCTCACGTGTCGTTGCACCTGGGGCCGTTCCCTGTAAGAAATGAAGATGGGAATTTCTGAAACCACTGCTCCCCCCCCCCCCCCAGCACATCTGCAGAGAACCGAGGATGGAGCGGAGCCGCTCCCAGGGAGGTCCCGGCGTGGTGATGGGAGACGAATCCAGCTTGAGCGGAAATGATCTCTCTCCAAACTGACCACTGGCCTCTTGTAAGAGACGTGGAATGTCCATAAAAATCATGCACAAATGGTTTGCATCAGGCAAAACCCTCGTTCTCGGCCCCCTTCATTCCTTCCAGATGAGACGGTACGGCAGGCGGGGCGGGGTCAGTGAGTGGGGCGGTGATGCCCGCCGCCGTTCTGAGGGGGCCCATCCCCACCCACGGGGAATGGCTCGGTCCGGGAACCAGAAACCCTTGGCCGGGGAGGAGGAAGCCACGTTCCCAGTCGTGGGTCTGTCTGCTCTTTACCCCAGGTGTGGCTGATGGTGGTGACTGTGGTGGGAGCAGCAGCACAGCAGGAAGCAGCACTTCAGTACTGGGTGGTTGTTGTAAGAGGAGTGGCCCTTCAGTGATCTACAACTGAACCTTCTAGCAGGTGATAGAAACGTCGTCTCAGTCAGTTTGGGATTCCCGCCTCTCCCCCACCCCCACCCCCCCGCCGTGTGTTGTCTGACTGCACCTCCGCTCTGGGGAGGTGTCTGGAGAGCCATGAGGCTGGGGTGCAACACGCGCTCTGGTCGTCAGGACGGTCAGGGGTCCGTGTGGGCATCATCTCCATGGCAGCCTGGCCTTGGCAACACTGCGGGAAGCAGGCTGGGGAGGAGAGCAGGTCCCAAAGCCAGGCTGCCTGGGTCCAAATCCCAGCCGTCCTCTTCCCGGCCCCGGGGCCCCAAGGGGCGAGCCACAGCCCCCGCCCCCCCTGCCCCGCAGGCTCAGTTCCCTCCTCCGGCGATGGTTGACAATAGCGCCTGCCTGATCGGGCTGTCCTGAGGACTTGGTGTGTGTGCAGCGCTTCAGGACAAATGCCGCCTGTGGCCCGCCGCCGCCCCTCTGTGTGCTGGGTCCACGGGGTCACCGCACCCCCACCCAATCCCAGGGGCCTGGCCTCTTGCTCCCAGACACCAGGTCCTGTTCAGGTCATCGTCAGCTTGCAGGACTGCATGGCCGCAGCCCCAGGGACTGTGGGGAGGCTCTCCTGGGGCCCCGTCAGCGGACGCGCCCGTTCCGAGCTGGGCACTGGGCCTGGGAGCGCAGAGCACAGCCTCCTGTCCGGGGGCCCCCAGCGCCCAGTCTCCATTCTCCTCTGCCCCCCCAGCCCGCCGCCGTGACCTCTTCCCTCCGCCGCCGGGGGCCTGAGGACCACCCCTCACTCATCCCCAGGGTCTTACCCTCCTGGCTCCCAGGGCTCTGCTCTGACATCCCCCCTCGAGCAGCGCAGGACAAATCCTGTCCCCGGTGGAACGGAGGTGGGGGGGGGTCGAGGGGCAGAAGGAGATGTCGGGAACGGGGGACATGGGCCCAGATAAGATGTCTGGTGTTTTCTCCGCACACTGATTTGCCACCTTGCTGAGGATTCAGCCCCGGGGTTGGGACCTGGTCACGGGAGTAGTGGTTTTAGGGCTATACCCCCCCCCCCCCGGCCTACCCGAGAGAGGCCTGTAGAACCCTCTGGGTCAAAGGCAGGAGCACCCGGGGACCCCACAGTGTAGCAGGAAGCTTGTTCTCGTCGTAGCCAGCTGGTCAGCCAGCCACCACCCCCAGGTGCACCTGGCACCCAGGCACTTGGCCAGATGCTGATGGCGGCATTGAATGTGCTTCCTGCTAACCAGCCCAATCAGGCTGTTTGTGATCACACAATGGGACTCAACCCTGGCAGAAAGGCCAGCTTTATATGTCCTTCTGGAGCCAGTTTCCATGGAGACACCCTGCTCTTCCTTTCTATTCCAGCCATGTGGTTCTCCTTAGTGGGCCTTGAACACACCATGCTCACAACCACCCCAGGACCTTTGCACTCACTGTTCCTTCTGTTCAGACAGCCCTTCCCCCTGCCCGCATGGCCGGCTCCTCCACCTCCCTCAGGTCTTTGCTCAACTGTCATCTTAGCAGCGAGGCCTTCCCTGGTCACCCTGTTTTAAACTGCTGTCCCAGCCGTCCTCACTCTCCTCTCCCTTCCTTAGGGTCAGGGTTAGGGTTCGGGTTAGGATTACTGTTCGGTTTAGGGTCAGGGTTCGGGTTTCCCCTCCACAAGAGCAGGGACCTTGCCCTGTTTACTGCACTGGCAACAAAGTGAGGCATGAAAAGGACTTCTCAGGGGCTTTTTCCCTTCATTGTGTTGTGAACCTGAAACAATAAAGCCCAGAGAATTTAAGTGACTTGCCCGGACCATACAGCTATTAGGATAATGGGGCTCTGTCGGTTAATTTGTAGCCACTTGTTCCCTGAGTCCACACACATCATCAGCATCTGTTCTTCTCTCCTTTCCATCTGCAGCCGCAGAGGCCTCCACCC